AAAGCACCTTTTTTAATTTTTCAACAACAAACTTTTCCTATATTCGATTTTACTGTTGTTGTTTTTTCATTTCTATTGTAAACGAAGAAGAGCTTTAAAAATACGATTATTCAAACAAAATCCCACCATCTACTTCTTCTTATAAAACAAACCCCATCTTTTCTATTGTTGTTATTCTGGGATAGCGAAAATTTATTGTTGTTACGCAAAAATCATAGAAAAATATTGGATAGTGCTTATTTCATCGGTAAATTCAAAATATAGATATTATAGTATTAAAGAAAAATATTACATCCCTTGAAAAGCTAAAAAAAAATTAATTTTTCGCTATTCCAGAATAACAACAATTGAAAAGATAAATATAGTTAGTTTACCGATGAAATAAGCACTATCCAATATTTTTTCTATTAATTTTTCGTCAGAAAGCACCTTTTTTCATTTTTCAAAAAAACTGTGGTATTCACGAAAAAGCCAATGCTATACCCTTTTTTTTTCCAAAATTTTAAAAACATTTTTTTTCTAATATTTCAATACAAAGATGCCCTTGATGTAAAACTTTCAAAATGCAGAACCTTTCATCAAAATTTCCAATAGTAATTTCATAATCTGTTAACAAACTTCTCCTATCTTCGACTTTACTGTTGTTGTTTTTTTCAGTTATATTGTAAACGAAGAAGAGCTTTAAAAATACGATTATTCAAACAAAATCGTACAATTTAAAAGCCCATGACTTCTTCTTATAAAAACAAACTTCATCTTTTCTATTGTTGTTATTCTGGGATAGCGAAAATTTAATTTTTTTTAGCTTTTTACGGGATGTAATATTTTTCGTTAATACTATAATATCTATATTTTGAGTTTACCGATGAAATAAGCACTATCCAATATTTTTTCTATGATTTTTGCGTCAAAAAAGCACCTTCTTTCATTTTTCAAAAAACTGATATTTTCAACAAAAAGCCAAGACTATAGCCCATGTTTTTTCCGAAATTTAGAAAAAAATTGTTTTTGCTAATATTTCAGTACAAAGATGCCCTTGATGTAAGACTTTCAAAATGTAGAACCTTTCATCAAAATTTCCAATAGTAATTTCATAATCTGTTAACAAACTTCTCCTATCTTCGATTTTACTGTTGTTGTTTTATCAGTTATATTACAAACGAAGAAGAGTTTTAAAAATACAATTATTCAAACAAAATCGCACCATCTAAAAGCCCATGACTTCTTCTTATAAAACAAACTCTATCTCTTCAATTGTTGTTATTCTGGCATAACGAAAAATTAATTTTTTTTAGCTTTTCACGGGATGTAATGTTTTTCTTTAATACTATAATATCTATATTTTTAGTTTACCGATGAAATAAGCACTATCCAATATTTTTTCTATGATTTTTGCGTCAAAAAAGCACCTTTTTTCATTTTTCAA